CCTTCTTTTTCTGATACTGTTGGTTTCCTTTTGTAGACCCATTTGCACCCAATAGCCTTCTTTCCCTCTGGAAGCTGAACTAGCTCCCAAGTGCGATTTTTCTGCAAAGACTCCATCTCCTCAACCATTGCACCCATCCATTTTTCTTTCTCCTGGCTAGTGATAGCTCCTTGAAAAGTGGATGGATCATCGCTGCTGATGAGAAGTGCACAAGAGACCAAGTCTTCATAACCCAATCTACTAGGAGGCCTTACATTGGTGTGTCTCTGTTTATCTCTGGCTAGATTGTAATTCTGCAGATCATCTGGAATAGAATCACCAGATGTTGGATTTAAAATTTCACCTCTCTCAGAAGCTACTGGTTGTTGTTCTAAATCCATCTGCACTGCATATGAACTGGAACTGTTCCTCGACACCTTGTCTTGATTCTATTGTAACATAAGCTGCTCATCAAAAACTGCATCTCTGCTGATCACCATCTTCTTTGCAATCGGATCCCAAAACTTATATTCTTTCACACATTTCTTGTAGCCCAGAAAGATGCACTTCTTGGATTTTGCATCAAGTTTGGATCTTTCATCTCCAGGTACATGCACATAAGCAGGACATCCAAAAATCCGTAAATGATCAAATTTAACTGGATTACCTGTCCATACCTCTTCTGCCACCTTGCCACCCAATGATGCTCGAGGTGATCTATTGATGAGATAGCATGTCATACTCACAGCCTCTGCCCAAAAACTCTTAGGATGTCTTGCATTCAGTCTCAAGCAACTTGCCCTTTCAGTTAAGGACCTGTTCATCCTTTCTGCCACACCATTCTGCTGTGGTGTCTTCCGCACTGAAAAATGCCTCTGAATCCCATGCTCCTCACAGAACTTCTGAAACTGCGAATCTGTGTACTCTGTGCCATTATCAGATCTCAAATACTTGATCTTTCTGCCAGTTTGGTTCTCCACCTCAGCTTTCCACAGCTTGAATTTAGAGAAAACTTCAGATTTCTGCTTCAAGAAATACACCCAAACTTTCCTGGAGAAATCATCAATAAAGGTAAC